GTCCAGTAGGCCATAAAGGGTCCAGTAGGTTCTACAGGGTCCAGTAGGTCCTACAGAGTCCAGTAGGCCATAAAGGGTCCAGTAGGTCCTACAGAGTCCAGTAGGTCCTACAGAGTCCAGTAGGCCCTACAGAGTCCAGTAGGTCCTACAGAGTCCAGTATGTTCTGCAGGGTCCAGTAGGTCCTACAGAGTCCAGTAGGTCATAAAGGGTCCAGTAGGTCCTATAGAGTCCAGTAGGCCATAAAGGGTCCAGTAGGTCCTACAGAGTCCAGTAGGTCCTACAGAGTCCAGTATGTTCTGCAGGGTCCAGTAGGTCCTACAGAGTCCAGTAGGTCATAAAGGGTCCAGTAGGTCATACAGAGTCCAATAGGTCATAAAGGGTCCAGTAGGTCATAAAGGGTCCAGTAGGTCATACAGAGTCCAGTAGGTCATAAAGGGTCCAGTAGGTGCTACAGGGTCCAGTAGGTCATAAAGGGTCCAGTAGGTCCTACAGAGTCCAGTAGGCCATAAAGGGTCCAGTAGGTCATACAGAGTCCAATAGGTCATAAAGGGTCCAGTAGGTCATAAAGGGTCCAGTAGGTCATACAGAGTCCAGTAGGTCATACAGAGTCCAGTAGGTCATAAAGGGTCCAGTAGGTCCTACAGAGTCCAGTAGGTCATAAAGGGTCCAGTAGGTCCTACAGGGTCCAGTAGGTGCTACAGAGTCCAGTAGGTCATAAAGGGTCCAGTAGGTCCTACAGGGTCCAGTAGATCATACAGAGTCCAGTAGGTCATAAAGGGTCCAGTAGGTCCTACAGGGTCCAGTAGGTCATACAGAGTCCAGTAGGTCATACAGAGTCCAGTAGGTCATAAAGGGTCCAGTAGGTCATACAGAGTCCAGTAGGTCATACAGAGTCCAGTAGGTCATACAGAGTCCAGTAGGTCATACAGAGTCCAATAGGTCATAAAGGGTCCAGCAGGTCCTACAGGGTCCAGTAGGTCCTACAGAGTCCAGTAGATCATACAGGGTCCAGTAGGTCATACAGGGTCCATTAGGTCCTACAGGGTCCAGTAGGTCCTATACTTCATGTGGATCCAGGTAAGGGGGTCCAGACCACCTGATTAAGGGGTTCGGTCAGCCTCAGGTCACGTGATTAAACTTGTTGCACATTAAATGTTTCTTCAGGTTCGGTTTAATGAGACCGTCCCCCTGGTTCTGGTTCTGGTTCTGGTGGATCATCCTCCAGCTGCTGGGAATCATCTGATGGATCAAACCATTCAGGGGGTCCCACCCGGGCTTCAACGGACCCAAAAGTCCTGGTGGTTCTGACAGCACCACAGCTACCGTCCGTCTGAGGAGCTGACTCAGGTTCGGTGGTTCTGATCCGGTATCTCAGATTCTTTTTACAGTCGGGTCAGTTTTTAGTCTCGAACACGTCTTAGTCCGCTCCGTGTGTCCGGTCTGCGGTGAGCTGCTGCTAGCTGCGTCAAGCTAACGACCGGAAGAGACAAGAACCGGAAGTGAAGTCAACATCCTTCAAAATAAACTTGAAACGTGTTGCTGTAAAAAACATGTGAAGAATCCAAAATAAATCAGACAAGAATGAAGAAGTCCAGAACCTGAACCTGACTGAAACCCTGTGGTGGGGAACCTCAGAACCAGAGAGTTCTGCTGCTGAAGGAGGTTCTGTTGGCTCAGAACCAGTTTCTGTTCAGGTTCTGTACAATAAAATAAAGACACAAACTTTAATGCAGCTTTTAGCTCAAGTTCTGTTCAGCTTATGTTTACCCAAGTTTATAAACAGAGGGTAAAACAAACCGTTGAGTAATGATCTGGTTTTATTTTGAAGGCTGGTACCGGAAGTAAAACTATTCTCTCTATCTTGACCCAGTTCAGTTTTTCCCCTGGCTGTAGATTTTCCAGTGAAGACCCACACCCCGCTGGACGGAACCGAACCTCTGCTTTTATAAAAACACCTCCGGTTCTGATTTTAATTTTAATTTGAGTTCTCTTTAAAGTTTCGGCGCTGGTTCCGGTCCGGTTCTGGTTTTGTTCACGTCTAATTTTCGGCCACGTCTCCTTCCTCTGCGGTCTTGGGTGTGTTAGGGTGACCCGTACCGGAGTTCTGCTCCAGTACCGCGGCGGTTCTGTCTGAGGAATGAGCCGGACTCGGGTCCAGCAGAAACGGTACCATCATGGATTATAAAGACCTGGGGGTCCGTCTGGAGGAGCAGCTGACCCTAACAGACAAGAGTGAGTACCTGAGCACTGTACACCAACATACTGGTCCTGTTCTGACCCGGTTCTGGTGCCCGCGGTACCTCTTAGAGCCTGAGAGAAGCAGCCAATCAGATTGCAGCTTTCAACCTGAGGATGCAGGTGAAGCTGAGGTGGTTCTGACCCACAGAACTCCGTGTAGGTGTAGGGTCCAGACCAATCAGAACCTGTTGGATCAGAACCGGAATCTCTCTCTCTCTCTCTCTCTCTCTC